GAAACATCACGGACGTAACCTGGAGAAATAGGCCTAACGGTAATAATATTTAAGCGAGCTATACCAAAGAAACTTTACAATTTACTTGATACTTGAATTGTAGTGTTTAAACACTCAATTAACACCCCAGGAGCGTTTTAACTTCCAATAAGACTATACTTCAACCACAGCTGATAAAGACAAAAAATGGGTTGAAGTTAATGTTTTTCAAAGAGAAAAAGAAAAACAAATGTCGTGCGTCCACTGAAGTCTTTAAACAAAAACAGCAAAATATATTATATCTGTCAACAATGATTTAATTTTTTACATAACTTGGGGCAAATATATTTGTTTTTGAAAGAAGGTTAGGTTGGCCATGTTGCCATTCTAAAAAACAAATTCTACCTGCCAAATATGGTCCTACAGCAGCTCCGATACCTTTACTAAACCGCATTGTCATGAATAAGGTATCAACATTCTCTCCGTCCATGATCTCATAGTTGACGGAAAAGTACACCATAAAGCCAACGCTAAAACCTGATACTAAAAAACATTTTGAAAATTGTTTCAATCATCAAAGATATTTTACCTTAAAGCACGCTCAAATTTAATTTGGTCATGACTTATATTCAAAAAGGAATTCTAAGAGCAATGTTAGAATTTATTGCTGGGTTTGAACATTTAAAATAACAGCAAAAACCTGATTGCGAGTAATACACCATTGTTTTATTTCTGGGAGTACAATTGACATCGATGCAATCAATCAATGCTAAAAGTACTTGCACAGACAATTACAGCTACCCTGTAGAGACGCCTGATAATAAAAGTGAATAGTGAAATATAAGACAAAGAAAAGTAAAATAAAAACACTTACCGGCACCATATACAAATGTGGCTGTCAAAGATATAGAATATGCTGCAGCAATATTATTAATAATGAGTACCGTAGCTGCCACCAAGTTCACCGCTATACTATACAATTGACCAAAAATGTTCATTATATATGATTACTATATAATTGATATTCAATAGCCTTTTTGTCAAATAAGTGCTAGAAACATTAAAGGTTATGCAAATATTGGTTTCAGTTACTAAGTAAATTCGAACTAAATTAATTAATAGTTTCCCCCACAAAATGCTTTGTAAGTAATACTCTGACATGTTTAAAAGTTTTGAAACGTAAGTTGGCTTCGTGTAATTAAGTTCAAATATGTGAGTGCTTATAGTAAAAAGGTTAAACTTCAAAAAAAAAGTATAATCCTAGAAAACGTAGGACGTGTTAAGATACTTCATATAGTAGCCTATATTACCATTTCATAGGATAAGAATTACTACTTCATGATAGAAGGCACTTCATTGGTTAAAAAAATAAGGACCCTTAGGAGACTAGTATATTACCAGTATATTACCAAACAACACGAATAATATCACAGCAATTCCCAGTACAATCCAGACTCTGTAAATACCAGGCGCAGTCATTGTTGTGCGTAATTTCTTAATAATACCCATGCAATCTTAAAGTAAAGTTTTTATCAAAACTAAGGATGCTAATAATAATAATAATAATAATAATAATAATAATAATAATTTTTTTAATTTCTTATATAGCATATTCTATTTTCATACATTCCAGTGCGCCTTACAATTAATTTTTTTTTTTTTAATTACAGAACTAAAATATAGGCTTAATATAAAAGTTTAAGAAACATTAAGGCAATTTGTTCCACAGTTTTGGGGGGATAAACAACAATAAAAATCCTGTTTCCATAAATGTGTTACGCTGTCACAGTGGTTGAGTGTAAAATTGCTATGATAATATATAGTTTGCCTTTGTGGTTCAAACTGACGTGTAGGCCTAGGGTTGGCAATGTAACTTGGTGTATTTTCTTAAATATAATTCTTAAATACAAGCATCGAATACAGACTTTAAATAAAACTCTTTGTCTACTTGGTAACTGTCATGAAGCTCTTTTAAGACTGGATTAATATATTATGTTCCAAGCTTTGCATGAATTTTATCTTTGAATTAATTTACTTGCACTCATTCCAAAGAGTCATACATGCATTAAAGAATACAACAGTTCTGGTCTGGTCTTGTTCTTTGGAAAGTGCGTATCCATTTTGGGCCTATAGCTAATTTCTGGAATCGGCCTTAGCACTGATCATTGAAAAACCTTTAGAGCGGAAGATCCGCAGCGAAATGTCGATGCTCTATTTTTAACTTCTCTGTCTGTCTAAATCTAGGTCATGGGTTTATAAGGTCAATTTTACGTCATCATGGGATTTCCTCTTGTTCACAACAATCATGGCGACGTGTAAGTGCTCTTCTAAAACATTTCGTTTTGTATGCTAGCTGTCCCGGGAATGACTATTTTATCAGCTCATGCAATGAACTAAATGTTAAACCAAGGTTGTACTAGAGCATTAATAACAGGAAACAAACAACTGAGCTGTCGCAGCTAGATAGAGTATCCTACATGTAACTCTCTCAGAATTAAACTCCCTTGAATTAAAAGTTGAACCAAGCACTGGTACCAGTAGTATGGTAATACTAGTATCAGTAAAAATAAATGCATGAAGTTCTCATGGCCGTCTAGCTTTCAGATTAGGCCTCATTCAGCTTGCAGTTGGAGCATCGAAGGCTGACAACATTGCCAGAGCAGTGAGATCCATCAAAGAGGCCGCCAGTGGAGGGGCCAAGATTGTCGCTTTGCCTGTATGCCACGCATGACACTGCTACAGGGGTAGTCAGGGGGTGGGTGGAGCTGGTGGGGTTTGCAGGGAGATGGGTGAATCAGGAGGAGTGGTACCTGAATAAATATTGTGGAGAGTTGTGGGTAGGCAGGTTGGGGTGGGGGTGGGGTCTAGCACATTGGGTGGTGGGGTACAAGAAAAAATCTGATATAGTTATAATTAGTGGTGTAAATAGAGAAGTGGGGGAGGGTGATGTTGCTGTTTGAGCATATCTAGAAGATACGTGCACACTTGAGCTTGTATATATACTAGCTAGTACAGTGTGTATATTTATATAAGATGAGAGAATCATTACTTGTATTACTTGTACTATAAGCACTGTGCATTAATGTTTTATGCCTAAACCTACTTAACTTTTGAAAATTGTATGAAAACGTGTATATTTCTGCATGTTTCTAAACTCAACAATTTTTCATGATTCATTCCTTTGCATATTCCAGGAATGTTTTAACTCTCCATATGGTACCAGTTATTTCCCAGAATATGCAGAGAAGATCCCTGGAGAGTCGACCAATGCCTTGGCAGCTGCTGCCAGGGAGAGCGAAGTGTTTTTAGTTGGAGGTAAGTTTAATGATGGCTCTTAATCAGGTCCAAAATGGCAGTCTTCAAGGGAGAGATACAATGAGGAAAGTTAATTCTGAATTTGCAGGCTTTTGTATAAGTTTATTATTATTTTTATGTACAGACACAGATGTGTCTGTACATATAGCCATCATCTGCATGTGTCGTCGCTGTCGTCGCCGTCGTCGCCGTCGTCGCCGTGCACTTTTACCGATAACACGATAAGTGGAAAACCATTTTACCTTTTGACTTGAAACTTGCAGAACTGATGAATATTCATAATACGCAGGTCAAGTTCAAAATCAGCATGATNATTATTATATTACTCCATGGACATAATGAGATATTATGCCCATGATTACTCATACATGTAACTAGTTATTTACTAGTTATTTACTCTAGGAAAATCAAAATCATACTTTAGAAAAATAAAGACAACTCAAAATTGTCAAGGTAAATAAAAAAAAAAGACACATAACAAATAGTCTCCACAACATACTAGTTTATATGTTCTTTAAGTAAAATACAATACTAACAGTGGATAATACAACCTTTTTAAGACACGTCATCTATACAATAAAAGTACATGTCATAATGAACCGACTTTTGATAATCAAGACATCTACTGGTGAAAACTCAACAAAGCTAAGACACTAAGTACTTCATGACTTTAAATCAATACTTTAAAAAAACTACAGTATAGCTTTACTGTACTACAAATACAGTAGTATGAAAATCGTTTATGAAAAAGACCACGGCCCTTCAATCGAGTCATCATTAACTTGATCTAGACAGTAAGACATAGCCATACTTTAGGAAAATGAAGACAACACATAATCGTCAAGGTAAATCACAAAAAAATAAAACATTATGTTACGAATGTATATAAAAATTTTCCTTGGAATTAACACGCTAAATATTTGCAATGGACAACAACACTCACACACTCCATAACGTCAAATATATAAACATAATATACTGAATTGGGATAACTAATACACATTTATAACAAAGCTAACACACCTGCAAGTCATATTCTTAACTTACAAAGGCCTAGAAGCAGTACAATACAATCTTACTACAACAGAGGTGTATTAAATCGTTCATCAAAATAGGCCTACATGAACTTGTTACGTTATAAACAGCCTCTGCCAAGTGGCTTAAGATAAAACACTATTAAGATGAGATGACATGGAATGCAAACTGCAACATATAACAATATTTGCAGATTTAATGCTTTGTCAGATATATGTCCAAAGGCCTATTTATCGTAATTCACGTAATACACATGTTACCCAGAAGAGGAGATTAATTTTGTCGCTAACTAAATCTCATACAGTCGTTTACTAGCAAAACCTCTAAAGAACTGTGAAAAAACTTCATGGCTTCTTTGTCAAAATGATTGTGACCATTATACTCATATTTAATTGACTTTTGATAAATATTAAAGAAATTTGTAATACAAGAATAACTCGGCTATAACCCCCTTGCATTAATATAAGTGTGTGTGTGTGTGTGTGTGTGTGTGTGTGTGTGTACGCATGCGGATGTGTCTGTATCTAGACGTGGCCTTTTTGCATGCACATTTTGACATACATAAACACATTTTAGAATACTTTACAGCCATATCTAAGAAAAGAAAAGAGGGGTAAGTTATTTTATAAGATTAACAGGGAAAGTGAATAATACATAATATATCACTGGATACACAGTATATACCTATAAATAGCGGATATACACTGGGAAAGGTGGATGATTGTATTGAATTATGAAATTCCAGATGAAGTTAAAAAAATATAAACATACATAGGACAATGAGTGCCTGAATATGGCTTTAAAAAGAATACGTAAAGAGTATAATGAAGTCTGAATGAAATGTACTTTTAATCCTACAAGAGGGAACTATGACTGTCTGGATAAACGGTGCGGTAGAGAATGACGACTTATTAAATACAGATTTATAGATCTACGACTGCTTGGAGAAGACATATTTTTCTACATTGCACTGATTTTATTTTGGACTCCTTACAATGTCTGTGATAATGAATTTGTCAACAAAATTGCCCAGAAATATGGAGTAGAATAGGGTAATGATTGGAGAGGAGTTACAAGTACATTTAATGCAATGTGCTGCGTAGCGTTCATACAGTACTTTTACTACAGTCTTTTACAACATGGACAGACTTTTAAACTTGCCTGCAACACTATGGGAACCCCACTACAGATAAGTCTGCCTGAATAGATAGCACACAAGATACCGCCTGTATTTTCGTATCACATGAAAAAAAAACATGAATAGATTTAATGATTGAAAGGAATCCTAGAAAGCAGAACACTCTTTGAGACTAATGAAACAGTTGATTCTAAGGGTTCTAGAAACGAACATGGAAAGTATCCCGATGGAATTCCAAGGCAAGGCAAAGTTGACTAAACAAATGAACAAAATGGTTCACAATCCCTACAATAATATTTGACCAAAAATTCAATAACACTGATTGTTCTGACAGTATCATGGTGTTTGGGACCAAGAACTTCCTCTCTCACTGCAAGGCATTTATTGTAATAATCAAGTGCCTCTTTAAATTTACCCATATACTGCAGTGCATGGCCAATATTGTTGTAGGAGTCTGCTGTATAAGGGTGTTTATGACCGAGTATTATCTTTCTTAATGCAAGACTTTTATTGTGAAAATCAAGTGAATCATTATACCTACCCATGTCTTGCAGCACAAGACCTATATTGTTGTAGGAGGTGGCGGTATCGGGGTGTTTCCAACCGAGAATCTCCTTTCTCAATGCAAGAGATTTATTGTGATAATCAAGTGACTCTTCATACTCACCCATGGCCTGCAGTACATTACCGATATTGTTGTAAGAGGTGGCGATATCAGGGTGTTTGTGACCGAGTAACTCCTCTCTCACTTGAAGACATCTATTGTGATAAACAAGTGACTCTTTATACCCACCAATTTTCTGCAGTACAATACCGATATTGTTGTAGGAGTCTGCTGTATCGGGGTGTTTATGACCGAGTATCTCCTCTCTCGCTGCAAGACATTTTTTGTGATAATCTAGTGACTCTTTATACTCACCCATTTTCTTTAGTAAAATACCGATATTATTGTAGGATATGGTGGTATCAGCGTGTTTGGGGCCGAGTATCTCCTCCCTCAATGCAAGACATCTTTTGTGATATTCTAATGACTCTTTATACTCACCCATTTTCTTCAGTAAAATACCGATATTATTGTAAGAGCTGGCAGTGTCAGAGTGTTTCGGACCGAGTATCTCCTCTTTCACGGCAAGACATTTTTTGTGATAATCAAGTGACTCTTCATACTCACCCATGGCCTGCAGTACATTACCGATATTGTTGTATGAGCTGGCAGTATCGGGGTGTTTGTTACCAAGAATCTCCTCTCTCACTGCAAGACACTTTTTGTGATTATCAAGCGACTCTTTATACTCACCCATGGCCTGCAGTACAGTACCGATATTGTCGTAGGAGCTGGCAGTATCGGGGTGTTTGGGACCAAGAATCTCCTCTCTCACTGCAAGACTCTTTTTGTGATATTCTAATGACTCTTTATACTCACCCATGACCTGCAGTACAGTACCGATATTGTTGTATGTGCTGGCAGTATCAGGATGTTTGGGACCGAGTATCTCCTCTCTCAATGCAAGACTAATGTTGTGATAATCAAGTGACTCTTTATACTCACCTAAGGCCCGCAGTACAGTACCGATATTGTCGTAGGAGCTGGCTGTACTGGGGTGTTTTGGACCGAGTATCTCCTCTGACAGTGCAAGACATTTTTTGTGATAATCAAGTGACTCTTTAAACTCACCCATGTCCTTTAGTACAATACCAATATTGTTGTAGGAGATGGCGATATCAGCGTGTTTGGGACCAAGTATCACCTCTTTTAATGAAAGACATTTTTTGTGATAATCAAGTGAATCTTTATACTCACCCATAGCCTGCAGTACAGCACCGATATTGTTGTAGCAGGTAGCGGTATCGGGGTGTTTGGAACCAAGTATCTCCTCTTTCAATGCAAGACATTTTTTGTGATAATCAAGTGACTCTTTATACTCACCCATGGCCTGCAGTACAGCACCGATATTGTTGTAGGAGCTGGCGGTATTGGGGTGTTTTGGACCGAGTATCTCCTCTTTTAATGCAAGACTTTTTTTGAAATAATCAAGTGACTCTTTATACCCGCCCATGGCATGCAGAACATTACCAATATTGTTGTAGGAGGAGGCGATATTGGGGTGCTTGGGACCAAATATCTCCTCTCTCAATGCAAGACATTTTTTGTGATAATCAAGTGACTCTTTATACTCACCCATGGCCCGCAATACATTACCGATATTGTTGTAGGAGGAGGCGATATTGGGGTGCTTGGGACCAAGTATCTCCTCTCTCAATGCAAGCCATTTTTTGTGATAATTAAGTGCCTTTTTATACTCGCACATGGCCCGCAATACATTACCGATATTGTTGTAGGAGCTGGCAGTATCGGGGTGCTTGAGACCAAGTATCTCCTCTCTCAATGCAAGACATTTTTTGTGATAATCAAGTGACTCTTTATACTCACCCATGTCGTGCAGTACAGCACCTATGTTGTTGTAGGAGCTGGCGGTATTGGGGTGCATGGGACCAAGTATCTCTTCTCTCAATGCAAGACACTTTTTGTGATAATCAAGTGACACTTTATACTCACCCATGGCCTGTAGCACATTACCGATATTGTTGTAGGATGTGGCGGTACTGGGGTTTTTTGGACCGAGTATCTCCTCTTTTAATGTAAGACTATTTTTGAAAAAATCAAGCGACTCTTTAAACTTACCCATGGCCTGCAGTACAGTCCCGATATTGTTGTAGGCGCCGGCGGTACTGGGGTGCTTAAGACCAAGTTTCTCCTCTCTTAATGCAAGACATTTTTTGTGATAATCAAGTGACTCTTTATACTCACCCATGTCGTGCAGTACAGCACCTATATTGTTGTAGGAGCTG